TATGATTTACATATTTCAATATATGATTTATAAATTATATGTTATACTATATGATTTATAAATTATTTATTTTATTATATGATTTATGATATATTCGATTTTCTATTATATACTGCTAACTTGTATTTTTAACTTGATATTCTGGATTTTTAAGCCAATCTTCTTTAATTAAATCGGCTCCCTTTTCAGCTATCATAATAACAGGCGCATTCGTATTACCACTACTAATAGTTGGCATTATACTAGCATCAATTACACGCAAACCACGTATGCCATACACGCGTAATCTTGGATCGACAACGGCTTCAGGATCCCAAGCAGGTCCCATTTTTGTTGTACCGCAAGGATGATATATTGTCATTGATATCGTGCGTACCTGACATTCTAAATAAGCATCCGATAAGAATTTGTGCTTTTTACAATTTGGTAGCGGTTTACGATGAACACGTGATCCAAATTGTTTAAAAACTTTTGCAGCTGCAACTCTTAGCGCAATTTTTGCACCTTCAACAAGTACTTTTGCATCTATTGGATCATCAAAATAATTTGCATTAATTAAGGGATAATGAAATGGGTTTGCGGAGCGTAAACGCACCCAGCCACGTGAACGTGGTCTTAGAAGTAAAGGCATAATAGTCCAAGTATCTTTATTTGCAATAGGTTTATATACTTCTTGAAATACCGATTCTTTTAAGCCGAGTACCTTCTTCACACGTGCACCGTTATCGGAATTTATCGACGCTGGTGCCATATGGAATTGTATATCAGGCCAATCTATACTACTATTTGAATATGGTGTATGCACAAATGCTAAGCCTTCAACACCACCTAAAGTCGTCATAGGCCCACGTTCGCGTAGGACATATTGAAATGTGATTGCAGTAGGATTGAAACGATCTTGTACTATAGCCACAGGTTTATCGACTAGAAAAGACATGCCACCCATGCCAACATGATCTTGCATATTTTCGCCAACTGGCAAGTCTTGCATAACTCGTATGCCATGTTTTTCTAAGTGTTGTTTCGGTCCAATACCGGAAAGCATCATAATTTGTGGCGTGTTAATAGCACCAGCTGATAGTATTATCTCTCGGCGTGCTTTTATGCGTATTACTTTGCCATTTTTAACAAACTCCACCGATTTGGCGCGCATTGTATCTGGTTCTATATGAATTTTAGTAACATGAGAATTCATTGATAAATGAAAATTTTTACGCAATCTAATTGGACGTAAAAAAGCCTTAGCTGTGCTACATCTAGAACCACGTCTAATGGTACCTTGCGCTATCATAAAACCAGCCTGTTTTTCTCCATTAATATCACGATTCTCATAACCAATTTCAGTACCTGCTTCTACAAAAGCGGCTACTAATGGTGAGTGCCATGGTGATTCTTGTACTGTGAGTAAACCGCCACGTCCATGATATTGATTTTTTGCTAAATAAGGATTACGATTGTCTTCAGACTTTTTGAAGTAATGCAAAACATTATCATAACCCCAACCTGGATTACCTAAAGACTCCCAATGATCATAATCATATCTATTGCCACGTACATACAACATATAGTTTAGTACACTTGATCCGCCTAGCACTTTACCACGTGGCCAATTGCAACGATTATTTACCATACCCAAACATGCTTTATTTGATGGTTCAGTTTTATATTGCCAATCCAGTTTACTTAATTGCAAGTAAGCTGCTAATGATGGCACATCAGAAATTTCATTCTCATCAGGTCCTGCTTCAATTAATAACACTTTCCATTTTCTAATTTCGGTTAAGCGATTTGCCACTACTGCACCGGCTGACCCACCACCTATTATTATAAAATCATATTCAGGATAAAATTGTTGTTGATCGATGGGCCTAGATTCGGGATCTACGGCATCATATTTATAATATGTAATTGCTGCTAACATTAATGGTATAAGCCAAAGTCCTGTTGTTACCACACCAAATGTGGATTTTATCACAGTAGTTATGAAAAGAAGATTAAGTACCATGTTCTTTGGTTGCTTTTATGAAATTGATTTTCGTGAAATGATTTAGATTTGTTGGTTCCTTAGTACTTCGGTTTCTCTATGGTCTATAGAAATTTTTTTCGTTTACTCATTGTATGCTTCTACCAGTTACAGCAGTCGATACTGAAATTAAATAAAATTTAATATTAGAATTCTAGCATATATATTAGAATAAATATTATATATTAATAATATTATTTATATTTACTTTAGACGGGAATAATATAATATATACAAACGTGAAACATATTTTTAATTAAATTTAATTAATTATTTTTTAAATTATATATTTATATTCTGTAATATTAAATTAATATTAATTAATAT